TGTGCACCAATGCTCTTTTCTAAAATCCTGGGCCAATCACAGTTAAAAAGGGACAATTTGATTTGATTGGTTGGTCAAACATTCAAACAATCCTTCGTTGTCGTAAAACCAACGCCATGTCTTTTATACGGATTGACATATATCGGATATTTCGGAACTAAACCCGGGGCACTATTTCCAACAATCGCCGCAGAGTGGGGGGAAATGTTCATGTTCTCCCTCGTGGGCGGGTTAAGCACTACCAATGAGCTTTCGAAATGTCTAGCCTATTTCTCAATCTCTACCGCGATCGGGAAACCGACGTTTTGCCGTTGACTTTCGACCACTTCGGGTCTTGCCCCGTTTCAAAACCCACCATTTAAAAGTACCCTATTCAATTCGCAAAAAAGTTACTCTGTATTTGCAAAAGGTTACATGTCATTGCGTCCTACTCGTAGATTAAAGCGATGCCAGAGAAAACAATGGAGCTCGTCAAGGTTTAAGCCACCAACTTCTTCATGGCTTTCACCACGGGCTTCCCACTTTCACGGCTCTGCGTAGACATCATGGCGTGCAACGTGGCAATTCTCGCCAAACCCTGCGGCAGCTACAGCGTTTTTCTTTGTACTGCTGCCAGTGGCACGCCTGGCGTTTCAATCGATTGACAGACTTCACGATCTTCCATCGTCGGCCTCAAGCGAGTCGACGGCCGACAGCACCTGTACGATTTGGTCAAACGCTTGCCAAATTGACACCACCCGACCTCTCCCTAGGCTGAACAATCGGTAACGTTTTGGTTATCCAGGGTTATACGGTTAGTTCAAGGTTACGTGGGGAGGGCACTATTCCGGTGGCGAGTATTATTCGGGAATTTCCATTAGAATCAGGAATTTCCATTATAAACAGGAATTAATCTATTCAAGTAAATTCAACTTTATTTTCGCAGTATAAGTTGATGTGCTGTAAGTTACTTATAGTACGAATGCAGAGAGATCACACCAATTTACGAGTTGTAATATAATATACTGGAACATATTTATGGTAGTTTAACTCCTGATTCACAGTTATTAATAGGGGTTGTCACGGTTGTATTTTAGCCAGTTCAAGGTATGTTTGTCCAGGAAGCAATAGCGGCAAAGGGGTGATGAATATCTCTAGTCAACAGTCTGCATGCTGCTTGCTGTAGGCAATTGCAGGGAGGTGTAGAGTTGTTGTTAAATGTAACCCGGGCATCCAGTCAATCTGCGCAAACCCTCGATAGTGAGTCATATGGGAGAAGCGCTGGGGCAACGGTGGCTATGATAGGCTCGGCATCCACTCCATCATTAGTAAGCTTCATGGCGAGGCCCCAACTGCGGGTGACACAACCGAGACGTTGGCACAGGTGGCCTAGCAGTGTAAACCAGTGCTACTAAATGGATACTATTTGGAGATCTTTTTAACTTGCACACTGGTAGACTTAACTAATATTAAGAGCTACGCCGATAATTTCTCTTCAAGACTAGGTTGTCTCTGCGATATTTGTATTGCCATTTGTCAGTAGGCAATCCGCTCTCCATAAGTTCGCCATTGAAAATAGAGCAGCACTTGCGACTGGAGATTCTCTAAAAGCAGTTCTTAGCCAAAACAAAGTTTGTTCCGAACCAAAATGTGCAAGAACGTTGGGGTCCACCAAGGCCGTCCATCCACTAACAGGTTCGGCTAAGATCGATCGTTAGAGCATCTCTGCCCCGGTGCATATCAAACCGCACATTTGTTCGAAACTAGCGGCCAGAGTAAAGCTGCCTTTAAAAGCAACTCGGGCTGGACGAGCAATTCTGCTGTATCCTTATTCGATGGAATAGGGTACAGTTTGTCAAACTACACTGAACCCATTATGAATGGGCTCAATGACATCTGCAAACCGTTGTCCTGTGCTTCACAATAGTCATACCGAACGACGAGAAAACCAGAGAAGTTGTAGAATTAGGTGGGGAAACGCGTGTTAAGTTGTAGAATTATTTATTATTTGACTAGCACCGGTGGGGAAACGCGTGTTAAATTTGTCTCTTGCTGTTTGCTTTTTACTTGCACCGGTGGAGAAGCTCTTAAACGGTAAAAAAAATGTAAACAACACCAAGCGAAGACCATTTTATGATCACTTTGCATTGTTTAAAGGCACTCGTTGCTGCACCCACCTCCTGCACATGGGACGGGACAGGCTGGAATTACGACACCAAACCGGCACCCACCCATGCCCAGTTGTGACCGTCAGGCGCCCATCCTGTGCCCACTACAGCACCCAATTCGAGAGAGCCAGCTTATATTATACACTATACGCGTATATCCGGAAGATGCCAAATTGCCGGAGCGGTTCGACATCAGCGTCCAAATCGGGAGAAGTGTTTTGCTGGACAGGTCTTCCCTTTCATTTCTAAAGACGTTATCAAGCTTATAACTCGACAAACATTGTTGTATGCAACGATTTCATTGACTTACTTTCTCTCTCCTTCTTTCATCCATCCAGCTTCTTAGCTGCTGCTATTGCTACTTCCTTCTTCTTTCATACACATGCGCAAATAGCGGTATCGCATGCATTGCAGAGTCTTCTTGTCGAGGTGACCGAGCGGCTCTGACCCACAGAATATTTCGAATGCCAGCAAGACGTACACACCGCAGTTGTAGCTGTCGCTCTGGACACCAAGCCCGGGATCGTGCGTCACCAAGCGAGCACTGGGGCTGACTCCATCTGGCAGCATCATGATCATCTTCTGTGCCACGGCACGAACGCTGGCAGCGTAGGAGGACGCCATCGAGTCGTAGACGTACACTCTGCCCTTCTGCATATCCATTAGCACAGCGCACCAGTGGTTGTTGTTGCAGTTGATTGGAAACAGCACTTTCATCTTCTTCGTGACTCTAGCCAACGCCCGTTGAAAGTATTCACTGTCTGTCGTTACGGCTCCATTTGAAATCCCAATGTTAGATGGGTCGATCACTAGAACACTAGGATCCGCATCGAATAGTTTGTGTAGGGCCATCTGCATGACTTGGGCGCTAAGGGTTTCCTTCGCAGCCAGGTCTACCATGTCCGCATACTCGTTTGACAGGATTGGAAGATTTTCCAGCAGCACAGGTATTGCGGGGTCCTCCTCGACGTAGAAGCTAGAGTTCCCGTGTCGCGTGAAATCTAATCGTTCGATCCAGGCTCTTTTGATCTTCTTTATGAATTTTACTGCTGTGTGCCACTTTCTCATGAGCGATATCGTAGAGTTCGCAGAAACTCCAACGCCAACGATCTCCAGCGCCAACTGCATCTCCAACGTTCCCGGCTTCTTTTTTTTGGTAGGCTGTGACCTTGGCGGTACACTTGTTGATTAATTGCATGGGAAAGATTCGCACCACCTCTTCTGGTCGCATCAGTGGCTTTATGGGAGGGAGTTTCGAAATCTCGTGGGCGATAGGAGGCTTCGGCTTGTTGGCAAACAGGAACTCCTTGAACTGCAGCAGCTTCTCGTGTGTCGACTTGTATACGGGTTCGCCATCCAGTAATTCAAAAAACTGTCAGTAGGCTCATTTGGCGTTCGTGCATGTCCAAGTCTTCCTGTACCATTGCGATAGTCTGGTTCTGCTTTGCTTTGACAGCCCGTGGCTTTTGCTTTGGACGTCCCTTGGTCTTTGGAGGACTCATGATCTGGAAATCATCGGTCAAGTTTGCAAGCGCCAGCGTCGAGCTGTGGTCATCATTGTCCTGAGGCGTATCGCTTTCAATGCTAACACCTTCGGCTTCCGTAGCAATCTGTGCTGGTTCCGCATCCAACTCGTCACCATCCGCGCTCGTCTCGATCGCAACTGAGACCAACTCGTCCCCAACTGAACCCGACTGGTCACCACCTGTGTCCAGCTCGTCCCCAACTGAGCCCGATTGATCTGCGCAAACTTGAGTGCTCTCCACTGAAGAAGCAGTCGCCACACTTTGGCTCACATCTTCCACTTGCCTAGGGATAACTTGCTCCACCTCCAATGTCTCGGATACCTCTTCGCTGTCTGTAGTGGGGTGGCGCCCTCCACCAGTGGTGTCCATATATGCATCACTCAAGCTGTCTTCGCCAGCTATCTCGGGTATGGTAGTATACTGGTCATGCTTGAAAAGGGTGGCAACGCCACGCAAAGCTTTCATCGCTGCCCGGTACTCCACCATCCCCAATCCGCTCAAGTGCTCACTAATTGAAGTTGCCACGAAATTTGCTTCGCGGAACTTCCGGTTGGAATCCCAACATGCATTGGCCTCCTTCAACACTCTGGACACACGAAACGGTTCTTCAGACAGCTGAGGCAACTCGGATTCAACACGAAGCGACGATAGCAGCCAGCGCGAGTTCAGAAGCTGGGTAGGAATCACGTTTTCAAAGTTGAGTGCCTTTCGAATGAAGAAAACATGACGGCATGGCAGCAAACACGAAGCCATGAACAAACACGAGCAAGCCCAATCCTTTTTCGTGACAGAGTACTCGCTGCGCGGCTCATCCAATGCGTCTTCATCGTCCGCATCGCACCGGATAACGTATACACCAGGAACCGCCTCGTGAAAATTATACTTTGCCGAGACGGTCACGAAATTGTACTGCTCGTACACAAGCTCGCACGCGTGCTCACTTACCAACTTTGAGAGAAAATTCATCTCGCGATCGTACTTTGGGTGATGCACGGCAGATAGTTTGTAGACCGCGTCCAGAAACTTCCTCTCCGCCTGAGCTTGATTAATCATTATCGACACAATGCACTCGTCCACTTGCATGAAAGAGTCCACAAGCTCCTTCAGCTGCTTCCACGAAGACTCAAGACGGTTGTTTGTGTTGTTGCCCAGGGTGCAAGCATTCTGCCTCTCAAAAACGCACCACATTTGACGACAGTTATCCCAATTTTTTGCGAAATACGCTTTAAACGGGTGCTTGCACTCTTCACGCACTCCAACTTCCGCGCCCAACTCCGCCCGACCAGTGCCCACTTGAGCACGAACTGCGCCCAACTCCGTCCGACCGGTACCCAACACAATATCTCCAGACACAGCCGAGTCAGCTGACACTCTACCAGACCCGGCATCTATGATATGGCTCATGTACTCGCGCAGTCGCAGGTATTGCCGCTCTGTCTTCGCGTACACCAGCAAGTTGATCAATCCGTTAAGTTGCTGCTTCTGCCAAGCATTGAACCCATAATCCTTAGACGCTATCTGCTCTCGCATATATTTCAACACGTGAAACTGGCATAACAGCAACGTCGCGTCCGGGAAAGCTTTCTTCAGCACGCTGGTCTCGCCGAAATCTTTGTCGATCAATATGCATTTGATGCGCGTCCACGCCGGATTGTAGCGCTTGAACTGCTCCAGGGCCGTCAGAAGCGTTGGGTTGCGCTCGTTCTGGAGAACAGCATGTTGTACGAATTGGCCCTTCTCGAATGCGTCGTGTGCCATGATCGAGAAAACCTTGTACTTCGACGAGTTTGTACCGTGCGTGGCGTCGATCATCACGACCTCTGGGAAACGGTCAAAGATCTCCCTCATGTGCTTCGTCTGCAGCGTTATACACGTGGCTACAGTCTAACACCAATAGTTAATCATAGGATGGTTACACAGTTACTGCAATAGTTTGTATACCTTATCATGGACTGAGTCGACAAAAACGCCTCCAACATTCCCTGGTTCATCCGTGAACTCGGCCATCCATTGCTTCAGCCTTTTTGCTGATGTCTGAGTAGTATGGGTCTGTTTCTTCAGCTTGCGCACCAAATTGTGTACGTCCTGGCTCGTTGGATTGCAGCTGGAATTCTCGTGGATGAACTGCAGGATGCGTTTCTTCTTGGCTTCGGCTTTGACAAGCTCGCTAACAGTCCCCGCCAGTTCAGGCTCCATAGCTGTCCTGATGTGCGGATAATGCTCGAACGAATGTTTGGAGAGCAGATGGTTATGCTCCAAACGGGCAGCAGTAATTCGTAGACCGAAAGTGGGAACTGCTGCAGCCGAGTCGGTCACTTGCACACATGCATTTATCTACAGAACGATACAATTCGATGTGAGCCCAACAATGCCCAACCAGCACCCAACTGTACACCATCCAAGCCCAACTGAGCCCAACTGAGCTCAACTAAATAAGCCCAGCGCAGCACAACGGGGCACCACACCCACCTGCACGTCGCAATCGAGAGCTCTCGATTCCTGCCGCTTTCGCTTGCCTTTTCCACGTGGCTTGTACATCCCTGCAGAGGTGCAGACGAACGTCTTCGAGTAGTATACCCACTCCTCGGGCACAAGCGGCTTCGTAGACCCGCAGTCTTGAATCTTCTTGTTTCTCGTCGTGACCTTGTTGTTAGTGCGAACGCGGAAGCTCTGCGTGCAGCAATTATATGAATAAACAAGTTAGATCACAAGAAACCGCTTCGTTGCCATATTCAGCTAAGCAAGCGTTACCTGGTATGTCTCTGCAGAATAGGCTTTTAGATACGCATCCAAGGCGCCCCAAGAATCGAACTCGGTCTTCTCGGGCGGTGGAGCTATCACCACGGGCTCTTCGCCGCTCTGGGTTGTATGGAGAGTGCCGGAAGCATCCGAACGACGCTGCTTGGACGTGGAGCTGCCGGTACCTGTGGAGCTGCTGGTACCCGACGACTCCGCCGCCGAGTCGACCCACTCTTCATCGCTATCGACCGCCTCTCCCCTATCACTCTCCCCTCCTCCCTGGCGCGGCGGTCGCACCACCGCTTTGACGCGCAGATCGGGCGCCATGGCTGCTGCTGATTCCCCCCGCTGCAAAAATGAGTGGGGGAGAAGAAAAGTATACCGCTATACAACGTATATTCGCTGGACGGATACGGATTTCAAGGGGTAGGGAAACCTTGGGTCCTGTCCCATGTGCAGGAGGTGGGTGCAGCACTCACTCTCTTGTTTAAATGGTGCTGATGATGAATTGCATAGCGAGCATAACCAGTAATCCACTGACGGCGGCAGCAATCATAAATGAGCACTGGAGTATGTAGAACTGTGCATGATCCAGGCGGCACCGTTACGATCCTGAGTCCAGTGAAGTTTGGTCACAACCTCCACGGTATGTTTTCTTTTTTATAATATTAGCACAAACACCGATTTAGTTCACTCTGTTTTGGCTACACCGACAGAGGCCTCACACCTCCTTTTAAACTTTTTTGGTACCTGTATCCAGTTTCTAATACACGTAATAAGTACTGTAAATACGGTAGTACAACCCGGGCTTGTAAATTTTTTTTTTGAAGCCCCTCCTAAACCGGGCTTCAAATACAGGGTCGTTAAATTACAGTTTTAGGCAATATAATATCGCTATTACTAGTCTAGAAGGACCCTCTCTGTGAAGACGTTTTCGACGTCATCGATATCAGTGTCGCTGCCTTCGTTAACAAGGCGAAGCTTGGACACCTCTTCCATGATGCCCTGAGGCTGTTCGCCAGGTAGAGGGCGGCAAACTTAGAGTGTAGAGCTCATGAGTAAGCACGAACGATTGGGTTTCTTTACCGAATTCAGTACTGGGTCTCTAATAGAAGGGGGCTTGTAATTCAGTTTTTACAGTACACTCGAAGGTACATACTTTCCTCGATTTGCTGAACTCCGACCAGACTGTATCCAGTTCTTACAAATCAGAGGGAAATGGCATACTCAATTAGCAATGTTAATTTAAACACTTCAACCCACAGATGTTCTCCTGGACAGTCGTAGCGCTTTGAGCTTCCAGTTTATTCCTGTCTAAGGGTATTCCTTTCCATGAACGTACCAAAAAAAAAAATTGGATCTAAGTACCTTTAGTTTGGAACAGTGCACGGTATCCAGTGGTGGAAACGTTAGGCTAGCATCATTGTCCCTCTTCGCAAGGTGATGGAAGCACGTCGGGCATTTAGACTACTACAATAAAACTGCGTCTACGAAGAACCAGGCGAAGATGATGCAGTATCCGCTGTGCTTGCGGCGATGGTATCTTGCCTGCACGCAAAGGATCCAATGTCCGTGGACGAGCGTCTGAACCCGCCGGACGAGAACACAACTGCAGAAGATCTCACAGATGAAGACTTCTGTGGAATTGACGACCAAGAATTTACTGTAGATGACTCTGAGACCGGGTCAAAACCCGGACGAGGACGATATGGAGCATAGTATTGAGGAGGGCCTTGAGTTAGAAGCAATTAAAGAACATCCCATGCGGATTGGTAAGCACTGGAGTATCGTGTATGTCGGTATTTAAATTGCGAGAAATCCAGAGCGCGCTCCGTAAAGAACTTCGAAGGAAGCAAGGCCACAAGCACCAAAAGTCTTTGCTAGATTTTTTCGAATGTCCTGTGCAGTTATGACTGTTCCCTAGTTAAGCACCGTAGAATAGGAATATATGACTTCAAATGTATTCCATTTACAACTGAGGGTGAGAGGGAATAATATCTTGTGCTTGTAGAAACTGGTCAACGGGAACTGCTAATTTATTGCTGCTGAGGGACTATTCCAAGCTTGGGATTACTACCGAGGGGATTGTCTGTGCATACATTTTTGCTCTCCTCAGCTGCCCTACACCTCTGCAAATCCCTTACTTTAACAAAACCAGTTTTTCTTTTCTCCACAAATCTCTGAGCACAGCATACAATACCATACTTTCTTCAAGTTAAACTTGTAATAAACACATTTCCCGCAGCGGCTCTCCTCGACTCGAGGCTCGAGTGCAGCCTGCACTCGTACGTTCACGAGCCCTGCACTGTGCACTGCAGGGCTCGTGAACATACGAGCGTGGACAATCCACAGCTGTAGTGTAGCCACTGGCGTCGTGCCTGCACGCACTACAGTTTGCAATTATCAGTCGAGAGCACAAACGACAAGCATAGGACGTTGAGGAAGGCGCCGACCCGAACCTCAACGATGCGTGTCCAGTGCCTCGCGGTGGTGGCTGCGCTCTCTTTTGTCTCGAGTGCCGACGGGCTTCATGTCGTCCCCAACTCCGCTAAATCTGCATCGCTACGAGCGCCTGCTGAAGCCCGCTACCAGCCTTACGTGGAGGGCAAGACGGACCGGTTCTTGGTTAGCGAGTCCAAGAATGACGTAGCCACCGAGGATTCGACTAAATACGCGTTTTCTACTTTGAAAGACGATAACGATATGCTCCAGGACGACGACCAAGACGAGGATGAGGACGAAAGCGAAACTGAGGGAAACGAGGGCGAAGAACGTTTCTCGTTCAAGAGGAGGAAAAAAAAGAAGAAGAAAAAGAAACACAAAGAGACGCCAACGCCGACCCCTGCACTGAATAGTACGGCGACACCCACTCCAACACCGACGCCGAGTCCTGGCAGAATCGACCGTTTAGTCTCCTGGTTTGATCGGAGGTTCGACTGATTCAGAGAACCCACTTCCGCATTCCACGTAACTAATAGTTTTGAATTGGACGATTTCATCTGTCTTCCAGAGGTTTAACTGAATGCCCAAAACTTCTTCTGAATTCTAAAATAATGTACTAGTATCTGGTCACAATTTATTATTTAGTATTAATAAATCTGACGCTAAAGCAAAGTCCGATTATTCGCGTCTTGCTAGTGAAGTAAAACTTTTGTCCCGCGTGTTCTATTACTGTATCACAGTTGTTGGATTGACTTGTTGCTAGAGCAAAGAAATCGGAGATGTTACATCAAAATTATACCATTACGCTTGAGACTGCTGATATGGCCTACGAACTCACTTTGAGGCACATTATTAGCTGCGGTTGGCTTGGTAAATATGAACCCAAGGTCGACGTAGTCTCTGATAACAACGAATGCGCGTTGTTCATCACGTGTATCGTTTGCACTAGAAAAGAAATACTTAAGTATTTGAGCACTAAGAAGCCAGACGATGGAAAAGAGAACACGTACGCATGGAATCGAACATTGATTCTTATGCGATGCAGAGTTCGTAATAAAGCGTACTTGGGTAGTACATCTAACATGTTTGTGTTGGTGTTTACTTAAAAGGGTAGGACTCCTCCAGAATTGATGTGAAGACGCCATCCTCAAGCGGCATCACAACCGTCGCGCCTGACGAAAAAAAAATCGCGTCTGACGTATCAGCGTCAAAGTCAAACTTACTCAGTGCATCACGCGCTTCATCTGTTAGCTGTTCCCACGTGACGAGATCCTGCGTTCCTCCCGACTTTTTTGTTAGACGAAGGGCCTGGTTGGACAGCCAGAAACCAATGTAGGAATCCAGTTTGAGTGTCGTCCCTTTTTCAATATACTTCGTCTTCGGAGAAGGCTTCTTCACGTAGCCCTTGCTACCGGACATGGACACACCAAGAATAGTCGAGTTGTCAGGATTCGTGTTGTCCGTCCACACAATTGCAGACGACCAGAAGTGGCGGTGACCTCTATTATATTTGGATGCACGAAACGCTCCCTTCGGGAAGTACCAAGCGTACATAATGGCCCATTTGCCCTTGTACCAGTCCGACCGCGAGTAGATTTGGGATCCTTGGACAGGCTTTTCGCAGTCACTGTTGGCCCAGCCAGACCATTTCAAGCCACCACTGATCGCGCCGTTGGCCTGAACAGCAGGATACGGGTAGCAGCCCTTCGAAATATGGAGTTGCGGTTTGTACTTGATGGCAGACTTCTCCGAGTCTGTGGTTGGTTCCATCTCTTCGAACGGTTGCACTTGGTCGTGGTTGATCGTACGGATGCCAGCATTGACTGACACGAAGGAGAGAAGAGCTCCGAGGAAAAGGACGCC